TTTATTAATGTTATGTTATATTTTCTCATATCTCTTGGAAGTAAAATGTTACCCAAAAACAAAATTCATTTTTTAGTACTTGTTATTTGTAAAAATATATTCACTGTGTCTCTTCAAGTAATCTTTGCAGGTTTTGTGGTACATGTAATTTAGGGCACATTTAGTAAGTCGAAGGGTTAAAATATCCTGTGCTGTCGCATATGGCAGTGAGCAGAATCGCAGATGTTGATGATACCACATAATTAGTATTCTTTTATGTAAATGAAGGCTGTCAGCATGTTACCATAGTGTCTACTCTCTCTGAAGCTGGAATTTATGCCACTTGGTCTCACCAAGACCAGGCAGGATTATTCCACTGTCCTTAGTTAAGAACTGAAAGGAAATTAATGCATTGAGAGAGAAGATATGGAAATTTCCTTAAAGTAGATAAATTCTCTTTATTTTTTTTCCTATTTTGCTTTTGCTTATTCCCCCCCCTTCCCCCGCCCCCAGAAATTTTATTTCTGGTGATGCAGAAATGCATTTAGGATGAGCTAAGAAATTTCCTATTTGAGAATAATTGGAATAGTTCAATTAAAGGACAAATCATATTTTCAAACTATAGATTTTTGAATGATTATAGTGTTCAGTCATCTCATACAGAATTTTTTTAATGATGTGATAAATCTAGAAATTTCTCATCAGAACAGAAAGGAAGAATTGAAAAGATTTTATCTTCTTTTAATTTATTATTTTAGAGATAATAACCATAGTATGGTACTTTTAAATAACCATAGTTTTTAGCTCCAATTGATTCCGATTTTTAAAATAAAGCTGTGGTAATTAAGGGAGCAAACATTCATATTTTATCAGGTTTACTTTGTATACAGACAGATCCAAGGTGTGCAAGACATTTATTTAAAGTTTCTGATCTACCTAATGACCGAGAACAGTTAAAAGCACATCGTGTTCTTTCCCAGACACGCTGCAAGTTTATCTCCTTCGGGTTTTGGGTGCCCGTCACACTGGAAAAGGTGTACGTGTCAGAAAAATGTAAAATAGAGTTCCTTTATGCCTGTGGGTGTTAGGCCTTGTTCTTAAATAAAGTGGAACATATTGTCTTTCTTGGACTGGGTAACCTGAGATACTGTGTTCTGTTTATTCTCTATTTTGTGTGTTAAGGTGGCTTCTTTTTTGTGTGTCACTTTTGGGTGATTTCCATTTTATGATCAGATATGTTTTTCCTCTAGAGAAGCTAGTCTGCCCAGCTGAAATCAGTGTGGTGAGGTGCAAAGTACCCCTGTGTTCTCCTGAATGGATTTACTCTGCCATATGGCAGGTTAGTAAGTCCCCGCGACAGATTTGTAATGGGAAAAGGGCTGTGCAGGAAAGGATGTGCGTGATCAGCAAATTTATAGATCAGAAAATGAAATCAGAAGAAAGTGTTTCCAGAGCGCCCTTTCCATTTGATGGCTCTCCATGGAGAGAGTATGGAATCGTCTTTTAGTGTTTTTCTACTTCGGCTTTTAGTTATTCCAGCATATTTTTTCTAACACAGGAGTTGATTTCATTAAGGCCTCCGTGTTCCGGTGCTGTGTTGCTGTATTCCCATTCATGGAAGTGTTCTCTAGGATTTGAAGTTGTGCTGTGTTTCATGTGATCTCAGTAGCAATTAAATTCCTAAAGACACATCAACCCTCCCATTGGCTAAAATATGGGGACTTGCCAAGTTTTGAGTTATAAGAAGCTATTCTGATATGATTCAGTGAGTAATGAACCTTTCACAGGAAAGGAAACAAAAAGAGAAGCTGAGTGAGCTAAAGATAGTATGTCCTGGTACATTTAAGTCTGTGCTATCTAATATTGCACTATAATATCTAATATAGCTACATGTGGCTTTTTAAATTTAAATTAATTAAAAGTAAATAAAGTTAAAAGTTCAGTCCCTCAGTCTCACCAGCCACATTTCAAGTGCTCAGTTGGCTGATTAGTACAGTATTGGGCAGTGCAGATAAAGAACATTCCACCATTGCAACAAGTTCTTTGGGGCATTGCTGGTCTAACTGGAAGATTTTGAGAAAAACAGTTCTTTCTTTGATTTCTAGGAGGAGTTCTTCATTCGTATATAATTTACTAGATTTAGTGCAGCTGTTTTAAGGTTTTAATGTACAAATGAATCATCTGTAGACCCTGTTTAAAATGCAGATTTTAGACGCCTCCCCAGACTCTTGATTCATCAGACTTGGAGTCGTGGCCAGAAATCTGTACATATACGTACCCTAGGGAATTCTGAGGCTCACAGGTGGTTTAGGAACTACATAGATTGGTTGCCTCCTGCACACCCCGACCAGGGCCCCCGCGGGGGAGGAGCCTGCAACCAAAGTTGGGAATCCAGCTGGGGACCCTTTGGTCCCCAGGCCGAAGCTCTATCCATCCACTGAGACAAAACAGCTAGAGCTGTCCCTTCATACAACCAGAATCGTGATTAGTATTCCCTCCAGGACACAGTCTATCTTTTATAAAAAAGCTCACTTTGGTTTCTAGTTGATAAGCTAGCATCTTTATGTAGAAAAACGTTTTACGTAGGAAGTATGAATT